TCATCAAAAACAAGGGAAATTTGAGAAAGTGTTAGAGCCAAGAAGAGCTTAAAGAAACATGACAACTAAATGTAATGTGGCATCTTAGCTGGGATCCTGGAACAGAAAAATGACATTAGGTAAAAACTAAAGAAATTTAAAGAAACTATGGGCTTTAATCAATAATAACATATCAGTATTTGTTCATTAATTGTAAAAACAATGTATCACACTCAGTGTAAGATATTCATAATAGGTGAAACTGGCAATAAGGTTTATGAGAACTTTTTGTGCTATCTTCTCAAGTTTTCTATAAATCTAAAAGTGTCCTAAAAAAATGAAGTTTATTAAAAAGAAAAAAATCACTAGCCATGCAAAGGAGCAGGAAAATACGATCCATAGTCAGGAGAAAAATCAAGCAACAAAAACACGCCCAGAAATGACAACAATGATGGAATTAACAAAGACATTAAAACAGCTATCATAAATATCTTCTATTTGCTTGAGAATGTAGAGGAAAACATGAACATGGTAAGGAGAGAAATGGAAGATACAAAAAGACCCAAATGAAACTTCTAAAAATGAAATGCATCTGAAATGAAAAACATCTTGAACAGGATTAACAGAAGATTAGATAGTGCAGAAGAAAAGATGAGAGAACTTAAGTAGCAGTAGAAACTATTCAAAATGAAACACAGAGAGGAAAAAGGCTAAAAAATACTGAGTATCAATAACAAATGAGCCAATATGAGGTGATCTAACATATGTAAAATTAGAGCCCCAGAAGGAGAGAAGAAAATGGGGATAGGTGAAATTTCTTGGAGAAATAATAGCTGATATTACTCCAAAGTTGATGAAAACTGTAAACCCATAAATCCAAGAAGTTCAATGAACCACAAGCAGAATAAATATAAAGAAAATCACACCAAGATCCAGCATAATCAAATTGGTGGAAACAAGTGACAAAAAGTAAATCTTAAAAGTAACCAAAAAAAAAAAAAGAAATAGTACAGTCAAAGAAATAAAGATAAAAATGATCATAGACATCTCATCAGAAACTATGCAAGTCAGAAAACAATGGAGTGACGTCTTTAAAGTACCAAAAAACAAATCCATCATCTTAGAATTCTATATCAGGGAAAATATCTTTCAAAAAAATGAGGTAAAATAAAGATTTTTTTCAGACAAACAAAAATTGAGATAATTCATCACTAGTATACTTGCACTATAAAAACTGTTAAAGGAAGCTCTTCAGGCAGAGGGAAAAATTACATCAGATGGAAATTTGTGTCTACATCCAGGAATAAAGAGTGCCATAAATTGTAAATATGTGAATATAAAAAATATTTCTTCACATTTAAAAATCTCTTTAAAAGATAATTGCTTAGGGGCAGGCTGGTGGCATAGTAGTTAAGTTCGCATGCTCTGCTTTGGCGGCCCAAGGTTTGTAGGTTCAGATCCCAGATGCAGACCTAGCACTACTCGTCAAGCCACACTGTGGCAGCGTCCCACATAAAATAGAGGAAGATTGGCACAGACGTTAGCTCAGCGACAATCTTCCTCAAGCAAAAAGAGGAAAATTGGCAGCAGATGTTAGCTCAGGGCCAGTCTTCCTCACAAAAAAAATAAAAAATAAAAATATAATTGTTTAAAGCAATAATAATAATATATGTAGAATTTATAATGTGTAGAAATAAAATGTATGACAAGAATGGCATAAAGGATGAGGAATGTAAAAGTATACTGTTGTAAGTTTTTTACACTAAACAAAAAGGGCTATTATTTGAAGATAGAATGGGATAAGTTAGAGATGCATATTGTAAAATCCTAAACCAGCCAAAAATGTAAAACAAAATTTAAAATAAAGAAATACAGATAATAATCCAATAGTGAAGGTGAAAGAGAAAACTAAAAGACACTTAATCCAAAGAAGGTAGCTGTAGAGAAAAAAAAAAGCAACAAAGGACAGATGGTATGAATAAAAACAAATACCAAGATGCTAGATTTAAACCAAATCATACTGATAACATTAAATGGCAATGGTCTAAATACCTCAATTAAAAGACAGAGATTGTCAGATTGGATAAAAAAGCAAGACAACAACATGCTAGCTACATAAAACACACTTAAAATATAAAAACACAAGTTAAAAGTAAGGTGATAGAAAAAGATACACTGTGTGAATACTAATCTAAAGAAAGCAGAAGTGGCAATATCGATATTATACAAAACAGAGTTCAGAAAAAGGAATATTCACAGGGATACAGAGGAACATTTCATAATCATACTGAGATTGATTCATCAAGAGGTCATAACAATCCTAAATCCTAGGTGTATTCACCTAATATTGGAGCTTCAAAATACATGAAGCAAAACTGATGAACTGAAAGGAAGACTCACAGTAACTAATTTCAAGATTTACCATAAAGCTACAGCGACAAAGACTTGTTTATTGGTGTAAGAATAGACATATAGATCAATGGAACAGAATTGAGAGTCGATAGTAGACTTAGAGTTGATTTTTGACAAAGGTACCAAGGTATTTCAGTGGTAAAAAAGCAGTCTTTTAAACAAATGATGTGGGGACAATTGGACATTCATATGGGAAAAAAAAATAACCTTGACCCTTACCTTACTCTATATACAAAAATTAACTCTAAATTGATAATAGACCTAAATATAAGAGCTCAACTGATAAAACTTCTAGAAGAAAGTATAGGAAAAAATCTGTGACCTTGGGCTAGGGAAAGATTTCTTAGGCCACAAAGAGAATAAAACAAAAGAAAAAAACTGGTAAGTTGAAATTCATCAAAATTAAAAACTTTTGTTCTTTGACAGACCCTGTCATGAAAATGAAAAGGCAAGCCACAGACTGAGAGAAAATGTTTGACAAACATACATCTGATAAAGAATTTGTGTCCTTTAGGGGATGGCCCCATGGCTGAGTGGTTAAGTTCGCATGCTTTGGGGGCCCAGGGTTTCACGGGTTGGGATCCTGGGCACAGACATGGCACTACTCATCAAGCCGTGCTGAAGCGGTGTCCCACGTAGTGCAACCAGAGGGACATACAACTATGTGCTGGGGGGCTTTGGGGAGAAGAAGAAGAAGAAAATAAGAAGATCGGCAACAGTCGTTAGCCCAGGTGTCAATCTTTAAAAAACAGTTGTGTCCTTTAAAAACTCAATAATTAAAAAAATTTGATACAAATATGAGCAAAAAATTGAACACACTTAACCAAAAAAATGTATGAATTGCAAAGAAGCACATAAAAAGATGCTCAACGTTAGTCAGTAGGGAAATGCAAATTAAAACCACAATGAGGGGCCGGCCCCATGGCACAGTGGTTAAGTTCTCGCCCTCCACTTCAGCAGCCCAGGGTTTTGCCAGTTAGGATCCCAGGCACAGACCTAGCACCACTCATCAAACCATGCTGAGGCAGTGTCCTACATAGCACAACCAGAAGGACCTACAACTAGAATATACAGCTATGTACTGGGGGGCTTTGGGGAGAAGAAGAAGAAGAAGAAAAAAAACACAATGAGATACTACTATACATCTAATAAATGGTTAAAATTAAGATTGACAATATCAACTTTTGGCAAGGATATGGAGAAACTGGGACTCTCATCCATTGCAGGTGGGGATGTAAAATGGTTAGAGTCTGGGATAGTCCTCTGGCCTCTAAAGTACTAATTAGGGCCACTGTAGAAAAAAAATGTAGTAGTTTCTTATAAAGTTAAGCATATATTTAACATACAACCCAGCAATCTCACCACGAGGTATTTACCCAAAAGAAGTTAAAACACAAAGAGTTGTAAACGAATGTTCAGGCAAGTTTATTCATAATAGCTATAAACTAGAAACTACCCAAATGTCCATCAATTGATAAATGAATAAGCAAATTTGATGTATCCATAGAACATGACTATTGATACATGCAACAATGTAGGTGAATCTCAAAAAGCATTATGCTAACCGAAAAAATCCCGACACAAAAGACTACATATTGCATGATTCCACTTACATGAGATTTTAGAAAAGATACAACTAAAGTGAAATAAAGCAGACCGGTGAGTGTCAGGGGCTGGTGAGTGTCAGGGGCTGGGGATAGAAGGAAAGGATTGACTTCAAAGGGATATGTGGAAACTTTTTGGGATGATAGAAATTTTCTATATCTTGATTTTGAAGATATTTACATAAGTATATACATTTGTCGAAACTCATCAAATTGTACACTTAAAGTTGGTGAATTTTATTCTATGTTAATTATACCTCAGTAAAGATGATTTTTTCAATATCAATTACCTGGAAAAATAGTTAACAGGGATAGATTTGTGATTTTTTCATTAAATCAGTAACTATAAACAATAATATTAATGAGTCTATATGAATTCTATAAAAAACTTTATCTAGAACTTTATTTCTAAAAAGATTTTTATTTAGAACTTTATTTTATGTTCTTGAAATGCCAATTGTATTCTTCTGTGCTGCTCAGTCCTTTGGTATCTACGGGATAATGAAAACTTACTGTCCTTATTAGGCACATCTATCGAAATTACTGGTTTTCTTTTGAAGCATTGAAGACCTCTAAACAATATCCTAAGATGCTGTACACTATATGATGGCCATCAAACACAAGAGGACTTGTAAACACCTTGTTACATGCAAAGAGTATGTTCAGTAACCTCCTCCTCCAGGGAAGAGAAGCTCCAGGGATTTGTAGAACTGATTTAGCAAAACAGGATAAAATATTGGTTGTCACATTTGACAGGACAATCAAACGAAATCATAGGTTGAGAAGTAATTCTGACATCAGACTCTACTTACCAGTAAAAAGTCATAAATTCTTAGGTCATGTTATCAGAAGAAATTCAGTTATACCAACTAGCCTTCTTTTAGCTAAACGCCATCCTTCCCCCTGTCCCAGACTGTAAAGTACTAATTGGGGCCACAGAAGAGCTCCTACGAATAAAACAGAGATTAAGAGCCCCAGGAACCAATAGCTTTTACCCACTGATACCTGGAGATAGAATGGACTGCATTTCCCTCCAGATCATGTACTGGATAGGACCTTTGTACAGGCCCACGTTCAGCTTTCTGGAGATAAGCTCTCTGGGTGTCAGCACCTTCATTCCTTGCTCCAAGCTGCAGGTGACATAAATCATTTATTCTTAGACATCCTCTAGGGACTGAAAGAAGGGTATTAATACTATATGGAAACACTTACCTATTCAAGAAAGAGGTGATGTCCTAGAAGAGGAAAAGAGAGATAGAGAACTTAGATGCCTGTTCATCAACTCCAGAAATTTCTTTGGTGATGCTGGCCACCACCAGAATTTGATCGTCAATAGCGGGATCCTGTGCAGATGGTCCCCATCCCATCTCCACCAACTCCTCTCATCCTCCGTGTGCCTTTTCTGATCTGCGTCCTTCATCTGACCCAGGATAAACTGGCCTTATCTTGATATACTTTTCTAGAGTTCCTTTTTACATGGAACAATAGAGAAATTAAGGTTATTTTTACCTATACTGCCACATAGTCTCAGGAGAAAAATACAGTAAGTATTCCAGCCCCAAGGCTATTTTTCCTTACTCTGGCTAATTTAGGTTCTGAGTGCTGAGGTGGTAACCAACGCCACCGTAGAGGTGAAACTTCAGGTAGCACAGACTGGCAAACAGCTTTTCAAACAGGTCAGATTATGATTGCTGAAAGCTAGTCAAAGATACAACTTAGGTTGCAACATTATTTTTGAGAAATAAAGCTTCAGATTTTTTTATAGATAAATATTAAAATATTAATTCATACTGTTATGAATGGCATTTTATTATCTTCTTTTCTAGTAGGGTGAAAGTAAAGCTTTCTATTGAGTGTAAAGCAAAAATAGCCTCCTGCTTTTCTTCCACAGAATCTTAAAAGCACGACAGCAGGAGTTTTTTGCCCCTCCTGGTGGGGAAACTGCTTATACCTCCTTTCCCGTCCTCTTCCGCCCCCTAGAGTCCTCATAGTCATGTTGATATATAGAGCCTCACTTTGAGAAAGTCGAAGGAGTTCTGCTGTTCCTTTCGTTCCTGGATGCTCACCAACATCTCCTTGGCTAGGAGAGACTGTTCCTGAAGCTGGTTCAGATTTATCTCCATCTCCTCATTCAAGGCTTTCCCCTCTTCTCGGAGGTTATTTAAAATGTCCTTTTCTTTGCTGTGCAGGAACTGATGCAGCTTTAGAAACTCCAAAGAGACGTGTTGCTGCAGGTGTAGCTTGTTTTCCTGGAAACCTCCATGATCATCACCATCGTAATTACTGAGACTAGCACTTGGGGATGGGAGCCCACACCACCAATACTCACACAACTTGGGAAATACCATAATAGGAAAATGCATAAAAATGGTTGCTGAGTATCAACATTCAACCATACGAAATGGAGCCCTCTGGAAGACTTACTCTGTCTTTCTGAGCTAGTTTAATAGTTCAGGATGAAATAGTCAAAAGTGGTCTCTAGGTTCCTATTGCAATACAGAGGTGGTAACCAATGCCGTATTAAATAAGACTGTGGGGTTAATCAAACATTCTAGAATGAACGATTATACCCTCCTACCCAGAAGTACAAACCAATATCTACCAAGTGATGCTTTTAGACTGGGATCATAAGGAGGCTGAAAGAACTGTCCTTATCTAGAAATCAGAACTGGGGGACTGCCACTCCTGCTGCCAGGACAACTTAGAAGAAGCAGGTGATGGGCAATGCCTGAAGCACCGAAATCAATAACTGCTATATTTACAGCTCTTTTCTTAAATGACTTCAACATCCTCATGGGTGAGCCATCTGACATCCTGGCTTCTCAGTTCCTTATCCTCCTCACTTCTAGTGATTTCCACTTTTATCTACTCATTCTCTTAGTCACACTGAGGATTTTATCATCCCTAGCAATTGTACCATCTCCAAAATTAACTTTTTATGCTCACTTACTCACATACCCCTATTGCAACAATTATTCAGTCTCATTGAAACCTCCTAATTCATTGACCCCTCTATTTCTATTCATCAACTTCTGTCTTCATGTCCCCTCTTACCCAGCTTTGATTCTGTGGTCCATCATTATATTGCACTCTTATATTCTTAACTCTCTCCCCTCTAGCTCACACTTTTCCGGTTTTCCTTTTATCTAGTTCACCACTATTTCTCAGTCTTATTTGTTGGTTCAATCTCCTCTAACCAACTTCTAAATATTAGAGTTACTTGATATTCTGTCCTGGGCTCTTTCCCCTTCTTATTCTATACTCTCTTTCTAGGTAATAGCCTCTCCTCCCACAGCTTTAAATACCACCAAATGCTGACTTCTTATTTCTAGCCTAGACCAACTTCTGAGCTCCAGATTCCTATATCCAACTGTCTATTTGACAACTTCACTTACCCCTCATGTCTAATTAATCACTATATCCACGTTATTTTTATCTCCAAAGCATATGCTGAAGCTGTTTATTTTTCTCCATCTCCTCTGCCTGTCTAGTCCAAGCCACCACCATCATTCTCTGGGACCACTGAAGTAGCCTTCTAACCATTATCCTATCATTGTTCCTCTCCAATCCATTCTCCACACAGACACCAGTCTGACATTTTCAAAATGAGATGAAACCATGTCCTGTGTAAACCCATTAATGGCCTCTCATTATTCACAGGATGAAGTTCAAAATTTTTAACATTACCTACAAGGGCCTACATGATTGGACCCATATCTGCCTCTTCAACACATCTTGTCCACCATGATCCAGTTTCATTGGCCTCTCTGTTTAACATAGCAACTAACTTCCTGTCTCAGGACTTTTCTATATGCTCTTTCCTCTTCATAGAACATTCTTCTCCACCACTTCCTTCATATTCCCTTCACCCAGTTCACTTGGCTAAGTCACTCATCCTTCAATTCTCAATTTTTAATAGATGACTTCTTCAGAGAACACCCCTCGCCCAGTCTAGATTAGGTTTTACATTTATGTGCTCTCATAGCACTCTATATTTTCATTTATAGCAATTACCACAGTTGTTATTTTATTGTTATTAGTGGGATTATTTAATTAACATCTGTCTTCCACTCTAGTGGAGTATAGCGTCCAGTATAATGCCTGACCCACTCAAATATTTTTTGAATGAATGTAATAGCTGAACTAGGAACTCTTACAACAGGAACAAGATTCTCTGGAGATACAATTATTTCCATCTATTCTTCTTCCTTCCCTCACTGTACATATTTCTTTTTCCAGATGCCAAATGCCAGAGAAGACTCTCCTCCCTAGAATAATTAATGAAGAAACAGAACTCCTAATGTAGCCCCCAAACCTAGGTACTGATTTTCCTGGTCTCTAACTATTAATGTTGCCCTAGAGCTCCTGTGAAGTTGAAAGTATAGGCAATAGTTTTATTTAGTTTGGAGGAAGCTAGGAAAGATCAAATAAAATGGGAAAAGACAGCAATCCAAGAGACCTTGGTTCAGAGGTAGCCTGGCTGTAAGCCCAAAGGAAAGAAAGGTATTTCTTTGGACTTAGCAATATTTAGTGGATTTTTCTGATGAATTCCTTATTTTGCCATAGGTAAAGGGAAAGCCCAAGCAGATCACAACCCCAAAACAATCACCTAATGACTGAACCATCAAAAGGGTCAGTATATTAGGGGAAAGGTCAGTCTGCTCTCTCTGTTGATTAGCTACTGGGAATCTACTCCACTGCTATATTGTTTGCTACCCTACAATGTCTGTTTTCTAATTCTATAGCCTAGGTGCCATTTAGTGTGTTGATGGTATATGTCTAGGCACCTTTCCACCCACATAGCTGAAGTTACAAGGAGAGTGTATTCCGGTTCTATGCCATAACCCCTCTACCATGCTCCTCACCTTGTAAGCACCAATAGCATCTTTCTGCATGTTCCTCAGGGACTGAAGTTCCTTCAGGGTTGCCTCCACTTGACCCTGATGGATGGTAAGCTCCTCCTGGGAATACCACATAGAATGAACCCACACTGACTTGGGATGAAGGGCCGTAAAGGACATCTCCCCCAAAAGCCAGATGTGTCAGAAAAAAAAGGTGAGCTTTTGCTGCAAAAGTCTTTCCTTTCCCCTGTATCGTAGTTCCTGTCTCTTCCAAGAATTGTGAAGAACATTACAAGTAGCAGAAAAACTTAGTTTTACCTTCTTATTAACTAACTACAGGGGTTTGAAGAAGGTAACAGGACTCTATACATTTTCTATTCTAGTTACACTGTTCTCACTATTTATACTTTCACTTACATTGTTCTTATTTGGAACATCTATTTCTTCCTTCTGCCCATCCAGATCCAAATGATTTCCCAGTTCAAGCTTTCTCTTATCATACATCCCCTGACTATTTCAGTTTTGTCTAATCTTCTCTGAAATTCTAAACATCTGTGAATTACAAATGTGACAAAATTTAGCTCTTAACAGTAGACTAACTTGTATCGTTTCTATAGTTTTATTCATTTTAAACTTGACTAAATTTCAAGACTTTTATAACAAAAGTAATATCTTATATGTCCATATTCTACTCAGTGTCAGGTGGAATGCTGTCATGGCAGGGTTTAGGTGAATATTTGATTGATTGAGGGAATAGGCCAGAGCTCCTCTACTGCTCCTTTCCTGCAATCAGAACTCTAGAGAAAGAACTTTGCATTGTATTTTCTGAGCGCTCTGAGCTTTCTAATAATCATGTGAATAAAGGAGTGTGATTGGAAGAGAGAAGAATTCCTACAAAAGATTTTTCCCAGCTTTCCTAAAAGATTACTCAAGGCCCAGGGCTCACCCACCATAAAGAACTGGACAGCATCAGTGATCTGCAGGAACTCTTTAGACTGCCCCACAGACAACCGAGCATCTTTACATTGAAAGCAGATCAGTTTCCCATCTGGCTTACTGAACAGTTTCAGGTTCTCTCCATGCTCTGGGCATTGTGGATGGCCCTTGAGTAGGGGTAGCCTCTTAATCTTCTCTACCAGCTTCTCCAGGACAAGGTTGAATGTACAGTGGCTATATTGACATAGCATCTTACACTCAGGACAGAACGTTTCCCTTGTTTGCTGCTTCCAAAAGTTTTGGATACAGGCCTGGCAGAAGTTGTGGCCACAGCTTAGCATCAGTGGATCACGGAACCAATCATTACACAGTGGGCAGTGTAGCTCCATAGTAATATCTTGTATCTGCACTTTTGAGGGTATCTGGGTGGTCAAATCATTCACTTCAACGTGGTTGCCTGGGTCGATGTTGGAAGAATTGTTGGAAGATACCTTTGGAAAAGAACAGCTAAAATGAGTTTCTTTCTTGCTGCAAATTTCAGTTCTCCAAGACAGTGGGCTCCATTGCTAAAGGAGCAGAGAACTGGTGCAGCCAGAGTAAAAGCACCATAATCTCTCTTTTGAAAGTGATCCAATAAATTCAGTGTTTTCTAATCTCATAGTTTATTACTACTTCCAACAAACCAAGGCAGAAGAAGAAAGAATACTCAGCCAAAGAAAATTATTTTGTTACACATCCCTCTATCCACCCACTTTCCCCATGTATCAGTTGAAAGTTTTATTTTCAACTTCTGTTCTACTGGTATTACCTTTTTGTTTTGTTCTCTAGAAGTCATGCACAAAGAATTGGGAGATCAATTAGATTCCTCACTCAGTGGCATAATATCACCAATCATAATATCACCCAGGCCCTCTTCCTCTCATTTGTTTAAAACACATTACAGAAATAACATATATACAGAAAAACACAGAATCCTAAGTGTAGAGCTCAATGACTTCACAAAATGAACATGTCTCTGTAATCATCACTCTGATCAAGAGACAAAACACTACCAGCTTTCCAGAAGCCCCCCCCATATGCCTGCATCAACTCACTGTCCCTTATCAAGGTTCACCCCTATCCTGACTTCCAACATCATACATTAGTTTTGCCTATTTTTGAATTTTGTATAAAAGCAACCATGCAATATGTACTCTTTTGTTGCTGGCTTCTTTTGTTTAGCTTTACATTTGTGAGATTTATCCATATTGTTCTATGGAAGTGTAGTCCATACATCCTCGTTGCTGTTAGAATTCCATTGTGAATATACTATAATTTACTTCTCCATTCTACTATTGATAGACTTTTGGATAGTTACGGTTTGGGGCTATTATAAATAGTGTTGATTTTCTGTTTGAATGATCTATCCATTGACGTGAGTGGAGTTTTGAGGTCCCCTATTATTATTGTGTTGTTATTAATATCTCCTTTTAGGTTTTCCAATAGCTTCTTTATGTACTTTGGTGCTCCTATGTTGGGTGCATAGATTTTGTAAGTGTTATGTCTTCTTTTTTAATACCATGTCTTCTCAGACAAGGGAAACAAAAGAAAAAGTAAACAAGTGAGACTTCACCAGACTAAAGAGCTTCTGCAAGGCAAAAGAAACTAGGTTCAAAACAAAAAGACAACCCACCAATTGGGAGAAAATATTTGCAAATCATATATCCGACAAGGGGTTAATCTCCAAAATATGTAAGGAACTCACACAACTGAACAACAAAAAAAAAACAGCCTGATCAAAAAATGGGCAGAGGGTATGAATACACATTTTTCCAAAGAAGATATACAGATGGCCAATAAACACATGAAAAGATGTTCAACATCACTAATCATCCTGTCAAAGGTTAGCTGTCCATAGATGTGTGGTTTTATTTCTGGGCTTTCAATTCTGTTCTGTTGATCGGAATGGACTAGCCCAGGGTTGCTGAAGGAGAGCATGTGAACCCCACCACTATGCCACGAAGTTGGCCCCTCCCACCTTTCATTTTGAGAAGAGAACTCAAGAGAAAAATACTTTCTTTCTCTGTAGTTCTGAACACTTTGGGGATTTTAATTTTGGGAGCCAGCAGAGGCTTCAGATAGATTTTAAGAACATCAATCAATGAAACAAGAATGGCTTTGATAGGTCAGGCAAAGGATTAAACTGAAAAAGGTGCCTAGCCCTTCCTATTTATTGAAATAGTTTAACCATTGCACACTTTTCTACAGAGGAACATTGAACGGGGCCTTTAACAGCTGCTTGTTTCATTTTATTTCCTCACCTGAAATATGCTTAAGCCTTAAATTTTAATTTTAAGTACTAAATGCAGTTGATTACAAATTTGAATTCAGGACTGATGTCACCAAAAATGGCAGAGCAGGGATCCCTGGGGAGAGATCCATAAAAACAACTAATAAACTTGTGAAAACTGTCAGAATCAAGTTTTGCAGAACTCTGGGATCTAGTCAACCAGGGGAAAACTTAAGGAAAAAAGAAGCTGTCACTTTGTAGTAAGAGTGTACTATAGCATTCTAAATCATTCACCTACCATTCCTTGCTCCCCAGATTGGTGGCATCCATTAGATGGCAGCTGCACTCCTGGTGCAGGTTGCAAGTGCCAGAGGGAATATGGACCTTATTCTCAAAGAATTGTGGTTGAGTGTTCCACTCTGTCTGGTGGTTCCCTCAAGGACTAAAACAAGGGCTTGCCTTTGTTTTGCTCAACTCGGAGAGTTCCCAGGGCTGAGGTGGCTTCCTGGCAGACTTTTGCTGAAGGTACTTAAAGGGAAAAGAATTGGACACAGTAACCTATGGGAACGGATAACAATCAGGACAAGCAGTAGACAGACCAAAAAGCCTGGGAAAGATGTTGGAAAATAAGATACATGGTGAATAAGAGCTTTTAATAGCTCCCAAGTATACTTGGGAATCGAGAAGCCCATGTCTGGATACACACTCAAAAAAGGGTGAGAAGACCCTAAGCTTTCCCCTCTGGCTGACTTTCAGGGTCCACATGAGCAGGAAGTAAAGGTTAAGGGTGAGCTGTAAGTGGCCTGTGTTGAAGGAGTGCTCCAAGACAGAGCCAATTGGCTGGAAGTCTACTTTTTTCTTTTTCTTTTTTCCTCTTCTTGGCTCCAAGCATTTGAGGAAACTGTGTCAAAACACTAGCTGACCACTAATCTAGTGGAACACAGGTTTCAGGAGCCACATATGACAAAGATAACAGAATTTAAAAATAAAGTTTAGAAAAATCACTAAGCAAAAAACAACAAACAGCAACAACAAATACTAGGGAGGGGGAGAATCTGATTTCCAGAGTTGCCACATTATAATATTCGAAATATCCAGTTTTAAACAAAAAAGGCATGCAAAAGAATAGGACAGTATGGGCCATTCACGGGGGAAAAAATAATAGCAATTGTCTCTAAGACAAAAACTTTAAATCAAATGTTATGCTTAAACAGCTAAAGGAATCATGGGCAAAGAACTAAAGAAAGCTTGGAGAACAATGTCTCACCAAAAAGAGAATATCAATAAAGAGATAGAAATTATGAAAAGGGACCAAACAGAAAATCTGGAAGTGAAAATTACAATGACTAAAATAAAAAATTCACTGAGGAGCAGAAAGAGAAAAGAATGAACAAAAATGAAAAGAGACTAGGAGACCTGTGGGACACTATCAAGCATACCAACATATGCATAATGAGAGTCCCAGTAAAAGAGGAGAGAGAGAAATGTGCGGAATGAATATTTGAAGAAAGAATGGCTGAAAACTTCCACAATATGATGAAATACATGAATCTATATATCCAAGAAATTCAACAAACTCCAAGCAGGATAAATTTAAAGAGATCCACACCAAGACACATTATAGTCAAATTGTCAAAAGACAAAGAAGCTTGAAAGCAGCAAGGGAGAAGCAACTCATCATGTACAAGAGATCCTCAATAAGATTTAAAGCTGATTTCTCCACAGAAAACATGGAGGCCAGAAGGCAGTGGGTTGACATATTTAAAGTACAGAAAGAAAAAAAACTATCAACCAAGAATTCTTTGTCAAAACTATCCTTCAAAAATGAAAGAGCAGTTAACACATTCTCAAAAAGACAAACAAAAGTCTTTAAGACAAACAAAAACTAATGGAGATCATCACTAGTAGACCTGCTCTATAAGAAATGCTAAAGGGAGTCCTTCAGGCTAAAATGAAGGGACACTAAAAAGTAACTCAAAACCATAGGAAGAAATAAAGAACAGTGGTAAAGGTAGCCTCATAGGTAAATATAAAAACCAATATTGTTGCAGTTTTGGGGCTTTAACTCATCTTTTTTCCTGTATTATTTAAAAGATAAATACATAGCGGCCCGGGGTTCGCTGGTTCGGATCCCGGGTGCGGACATGGCACTGCTTGGCAGCCATGCTGTGGTAGGCATCCCACGTATAAACTAGAGGAAGATGGGCACGGATGTTAGCTCAGAGCCAGGCTTCCTCAGCAAAAAGAGGAGGACTGGCAGTAGTTAGCTGAGGGCTAATCTTCCTCCAAAAAAAAAAAACAAAAAAAAAAAACAAAAAAAAGACAAATACATAAAATAATAATTATAAATATATGTTAATGGGTACACAATGTATAAAGATGTGATTTGTGACAATAACAATATAAAGGGGGAAATGGAGCTGAAAATGAACAGAGTTTTTGCATACTATTGAAACTAAGTTGGTATTAATTCACACTTGATTGTTAGAAAGTTAAGATATTAATTTTAAGCACCTGGGTAACCACTAAGGAAAAAAACTAAACAGTATATAGAAAAAGAAGTGAAGAGAGTCAAAATGACTCATCTGGAAAAAAATCAATTTGAATACAATAATAGATGAATTTGGAAACAAAAAAGATATCACATGTAGAAAATGAATAGCAAAATGGCATAAATTTTTCCTTATCAGTAATTACTTTATATGAAAATGAATTAATCTCTGATTAAAAGGCAGATTGAGAGAATGAGTAAAAGGAACATGATCCAACTATATCCTGTCTGCAGGAGACTCACTTTAGATCCAAAGACACAAATAGGTTAAAAGTGAAAGGATGGGAAAAGATATTCGATACAAATACTTACCAAACAGATGGAATGGCTATACAAATATCAGATAAAATAGACTTTAAGACAAAAATTGTTACAAGAGACAAAGAAGGACATTATATATTGATAAAAGGGTCAGTCTATCAAGAAGATGTAACAGTTATAAACATATGCACACCAAACAACAGAGCCCCAAAATATGTAAAGCAAAAACTGACAGAACTGAAGTTATAAATAGATAGTTCTATATTAACAGTTGTAGACTCTATTACTCAACTTTTAATAATGGATAGAACAACCAGACAGAATATAGAGGACTTGAACAACACTATAAAACAATTAGACCTAACAGACATATATAGAACACTCCACCCAACACTAGAAGACTATACATT